TATTACACAGGAGCGCAGAGATTGATATTCACGACAGAGGTCGTACAGTGCAAGCCGTTAAGTGATAAATGGCTCGAGTTTGATTCTCATTGCAGTTACCAGACACATCCTGGGAAATGAAGGGGAAAAATATGACGGCATCAATATAATAAAAACACACTTCAAACTTTACCGTCTAGTCGATAGTCCACAGCGCCAATAACGACAGCTTTTACATTACTAATGGAGCGGAGTTCAGGGACACAGTAAATATCTGTTTCACGATAGATTGAAGTGATTCACAACTCAGACTTGATGCGTCTTTTGCAGACGGCTTTGCTACTCCTCACTGTTCCCTTCTCTGCTCATCAGCGTCCAAACCAATTTCTGTACTTGGAGAGTTGCGGTGAGTTCACAGTGCCGGTCAAATCGCTAACACAACAACAATAATAATCCCTGCATTTGATATAGGGCCTTATCGCGTCTTTTGAGACGTCTCAAAGCGAGCCAGAGAATATACTGTAATGTGAGTTGACTGTACTTTGTGGCTTCACACCCTGGCACCTCCCCACCTCTCCGACCCGCTTACTCTCCAACCCACTGCCTCCGCTCGACTGGCTCTGATCTCCTGCTTGTCCCCCCCCCTCGGCCCCAGCTCAGTGTCGTGCTCAGCCACTGGCGTGCGCTCTGGGACGCTACTCTGCGTGAGGAGCGCTGTGCAAGTGCAAGCTGTTGTTGCTTCAGTAGAGATTTCAATCTAACGCCACGTGAATATGAGCCAGTGTGTATCAACCACAGCCTGAAAGGCAAAAACCGCAAACCACTCAGAAACAAACATCAGCTCGAACGGCTCCATATTCTGAATTGATACCTGGGGAAGATAATTTAAAGGCAGATCTAATCTCTCGCTAATCTAATAAAATCACCTCAAATTCCTCAATGAGATCACAGCCTTTTAATCACTCCCAAGTAACCTCCTCGTCTCTATATATAGAGAACATCAACTGCTATCCACTACCCCGATCCATGATGGGCTGCTGTTGCTATGTGCCAGGTGACTGGACTCTTACAGATCCTAAATCATTCTGATGCTCATTACATTTTCACTTCACTTACGTGGTCTTTACAGAATTTTACAGCACAGAAGGAGAGCATGCGATGGGTTTTGGCTGCTTTCTGAGCTAACCAATTGGATCTACAATTCTGCCCTTTCTCTCTCTCCCCCCCTTCGCCCCCCTGCCCTACTGGCTTTATTTTGCAATCAAAATGTCTGAAGGGTTTATTTAATCAGAATAATAATCCTTGCATTTGATACAGCCCCTTACCGCGTCTGTGAGACGTCTCAAGTGCTTCACGGGATATACTGTATTTGTTTCGCCTACAAATATATGGTCAACTTTCACTTCACGGGATATACTGTAAAGTGAAGTTGACTATATATTTGTAGGCGAAACACGGCAGCCAATTCCGCACAGTAGTGTCCCACAGTCGTGGATTGAATGACCAAATTATTATTATTATTATTTTTAGTAGTATTATTATCCAGAGAAAAGCGATCCACGAGGCGTGTGCGTGTACGGAGTAAGGAAACTTTCTCAATGTTTCGCCCTCCCCGGGATTCGAGCCCAGGTCCTCTCGCTTGCGAGGTCAGTGCTCTAACCACTGAGCTGCAGGACTTTTAGAGAACAGCTCAGGGAGACTCTGCACACTAAAGGGTTAATGGGACACGCCGCAGCATCGTGGCTCTCACATTACTGCACTTGGACAGAGCGGCTGGGGCGAGCCAGAACATGCAGAGAGAGAGAGCGAGAGAGAGAGAAAGCTCAGTCTGCACTACACAGCCATTTCTCAGGCTATTCCTAGCACAGCCCGTGCATGAAAAATTAACAATAACAGCGTCCCATTTCTTAAGAAAAAAATGCAGCCACTCAACCCCCGACTGTCTGTGGGACGCTGCTGTGCGCAATCGGCTGCCGCGTTTCGCTCAACTGACAATACATTCTGTGGAGCGCTTTGAGGCGTCTCAACACAGTGACGAATGCGCTGTGTCAAATGCAAGGATTATTATTATTATTAAATGGGGGAGAAAACAAAGTGATTTTCCCCATCCGCAGACCCTGGTAAAAAGGGAAAGGTAGAGCCAGGGAAGCAGGCGGAGCGGGGCCGAGGTGAATGCCTCGTGATTTGGTTTAGCTGCCGGGACATTGTCTTGGATTGAATCCACTTGGGTTTTGACCCAGGGTTCATTCAGCGCCTGGGAGGAAAGCGACGAGCATTGAAAGCTTCGATTTGAGCCAACTAAAATGGCTGCCCGGGCAACCACTTCCTCTGCTCCTTCTCCTTTGTTTCACGCGGGTGTCCAGAGGCAGCAGAAAGCAGGCGATTTGTGTGCTGTGGAGAGTTTCAGCCCAACACAGATGGACACTGCCCAACATTATGAATCACCTCTAAAAGCAGCATTGTCCCAACGCCAGTGGGGGGAGGAGGGAGGGAGGGAGGGAGGGAGGGAGGGAGGGAGGGAGAGAGGGAGGGAGGGAGGAGGAACAACACCAGAGAATTTGAATTTTAAAAACCAAAGTCACATTCGGAAACAAATCAAACTGATTCAATTTGCCAGAGCGTAAGATCGCATTGAGTATGACGTAACCGAGCTAAACCGGGCGTCTTAAACACACATGAATATGCAGCAAACCTGACGGGTGGAAATCTATCACTGCGCTTAAGCATAAAATCAGACGGTTCATATATTACGCATATATATTATATACAAATATTACATATATATACACAAGATATAATAATCCTTGCATTTGATATAGCACCTTATCACATTGTTTAGACGTCTCAAAGCGGTTCACAGAATACACTGTGCAGTGAATTTACTGTATATTTTGTGGGTGAAATATATTTAAGATTTTATAATATATATTTCATAACATGGTAGATAGATCCTATTGGAATATAATGTTAGAATAGTTTTTTCATAATATATTATAATATATACAAATATTATAATATATTATAAAATATAGATTATGGTGTGTGTGTGTATATATATATATATATATACAGCCGCCTACACAAGAAATCTGCCTGGAATGGAAAGTACATGTTCCCTGGAGGAAGGCATCCGGTTTACCTAATTCCAGAAGGAATCAAGTCTCGGGGTCCCCAGAGTGTGTAGTGGGGGTTTGCGAGAGTTTAACTAATTAAAAACACACAGCTTGCAATTGTGAACACTAACTTGTTCAGATGCCCCTCCCTCCTCTAACCTCTCCCTCCCTCTGCACGTCAGGGATTTGACCTGTTGGGTTTACTGGAACCTTGATCACATCCCCTCTTAATCTCCTCGACTCCTGCTCTCCCTAAATAGTTTGGGAATTTTAGTTCGGGGAACCTGCAGAGCACACACACTCCGCTTCCAATCGCAGCCCTCTGCCCCGAACCCTCTAATTACACCTCGCGTACTGGAGAATCATTAAATACTGCAACCCACTGAGCAATGACACCCCCTGAACCGCCTGTGGATCACACCACCGTTCATTAGCCCGGAGCTTCATCTGGGCCGTGTGAAGGAAATAAAACCCACAGGAAGCAGAGCCTCTGCCCTCCCCCCCACCCTCCTCCTTTGGGCTTCCTTCCACGCCCACCATCATGCCATAAAGACTCGGAAAACTCAGAGGCAGCTCGCTCACTCCCAGGCTCCAACAAAACAACAATTGGCATTTATATAGCACCCCTCACACAGGGTAGCGTCCCAGGGCTCTGCTAAACACACTCTACATCTAGCTGCCAGCAGGAAGACAGAGAGACGGAGAGAGAGAGAGAGAGAGAGGGAGAGAGACAGAGACACACAGAGACAGAGAGATTCCCGACAGGGCAAAACCTTGGGCCAGTTTCCTTACCCCGCACGCCTGATAGTAATCCCTCAAGAAAATAAAACAATAATACATTGGTCACTTCAATCCACGGCTGTTTGTGGGGACGCTGCTGTGCGCAATTGGCTGCCGCGTTTCGTTTTGTCCACAAATATATACAGTCAATTCACTTTACAGTCTATTCTGTGAAGCACTTTCAGACGTCGAGAAGGATATTATTATTATTATCACGCTCAAATACTCCTCCTCCCCAAGGCTCAGGCAAGATGACGCCTGAGTCGTACATCTGACCCGGTCCCATTCGAGAGTTAATATTCAATGCTCGTTTAACACATCTCATAATTTGCATAAATCCTATTAAATGGCTGGTCCCAACCGATACGACTTACGTGAGCTTTGCTGTAGCACCAATACTTCACGGTGAGAAGACAATTTGAAAAGTTTACCATGGCTTTATTATATTAAAAAAAAACTATTGTTCCAACCAGTTTTTAATGCAACAAAAAATCTCTCGCTATTTAACTACAAGTCTCTATGCTGAAGCTACTTGATTGCTGTTTTTAATCACACTGGGACAGTGGTTAGATCAGAGCAGCACCTGGCAACCTTCGAATCAAAATTAAACAGAGCAGAACCGGAGCTGTACACAGCCTCACTTGCTCACAATGCTCCTGTGTCAATCCACAACAGTTTGTAGGACACTGCTGCGCTCAGTTGGCTGCCGCCACGTTTCGCCCGCAAAATATACAGTCGATTCACTTCACTTCGCTGTGAAGCGTTTTGAGACGTCCCCAAGACATGATAAGGCGCGATATCAAATGCAAGGATTATTGGTAATATTACTGCTGCAGTGCTGTGTGCCTTCGGTGGATTTTTTTTTTTAAAAGTTGGGTTTTGCAAGCGATTTAAAATGCTGAAAGTTGACCTGTAACGGAGGCCAGAGCACGTGTTAAGCAATCCTACGTATGTTTATTTTCTGATCTCTTAAGCCGGGTATGTACAGGCCACGCCAATGGTTTTAACCACCCCACCCCCTTCACCACACACACACACACACACCAGTGTTTGCTCTGACAATCACATGTGCTCCAAACTGATGAAACAAGCGGATGAGGCACCAAACAGGGACTTGTTCTTTCTTACCTGTGGCTTCAATGTAGTCGATGCACTTCTCGATAAAGACAGGAATGGGTTTATCCAGTGTGACTACGGTGATCAAAGGCACGCCAAAATAGTTGCTCTTTGAGATGGAGGGTCGTGGTTTCGGTTTGGTTTTCTGTAAATAAAGGAAACGTGTAAAAAAAAGTTAGTAAACGAGCGAGTGAGCGAATGGTGAACGTGTGGAACAGGCTCCCTTGAGACAAGACAGTGGAAGCAGAAAGTGTTGCTCGTTTCAAGAACACACGAGAGAGATTTCTGTCAGGAAATAATATCTAGGGATATAGTTTGGGACGCAACATGTGCAAGCAACTGCCAGGAAAGTGAACGAGATGGACTTTTTCTTTCGTCGAGCAAATTCTTATATTCTTAGTATTCTGTAAGGATTGGCTTTCCTTGAGTTAGAGACAGAATCTGGAAAGTTACAAAAGTTTATAATAATAATCTCTGCATTTGATACAGCGCCTTCTCACATCGTTCAGACGTCTCAAAGCGCCTCACAGAATTTTACCGTAAAGTGAATTGACTGTGTATTTTGTGGCCAAAACGCGGCAGCCAGTTGCGCTCAGCAGCGTCCCGCAAACAGCCGTGGATTGAGTGACCAAATTAGAGGGAAGATGTTTAACACTGGATACTCCCCCTCCTTCCTCCTCCTCCCACAAAAAGGCAAACCCTGGTGGGAAAGCTGTATGGATTGTGCTCTGGGTAAATCTGGAGCAGGAGTGGAGTGGGGCCAGATCAAGACTGAACGGGGAAATACAGCACTGGGGTAGAGGAACACAGATGAGATGAAGGGTCGCGGTTGGCCTTCAGGGCATAGAACCAGACATCATGTAACAGAGATCTACAGAACTCTGGCTTTCTGCGTTCCACCAAAACCAACCCCCCCCCTCCCCCCCACCCCTCCGTCCCCAGCAGAACGAGAGTCTCACAGTCGAGGGTGAAGCTACCAACCATCCTCTCGCAGCATTCCTGCTGCCGTGCACCATTTAGCACACCGGGGTCAAACTTTATTAGCATCTGTGTGCAGCATTTCAACACACCACGAGCAAAACAAGATAGATATGACGCTATCGACATCAACAACAACGACAAATTACATTTACGCAGCGTCTTTTAAGGCCGGGGTGTGGGGGGAGGGGGGCGGGGGGGTTGTCCCAAGGGGCTGGACAGTCAGGATTTGCACCCAAGCTGAGGGCATCTAGGGTGGGGGTAGGAGGGTGGCCAAAGGCTTGGTCGAAGAGGAGGGTCTTGAGACGTAAGGGGTAAGGGAGGGGGCGAAGTGAAGGGACTGTGGGATGGAATTCCAAAGGGTGGGGGCAGAGAGGCTGAAGGCCCGACCTCCCGACGGTAATACTCTCTGTAACCGGCAGCGAATGTGTAGAAACAAATTTTTACAAATGTATTGGAGAGAGAGAGAGAGAGAGAGAGAGGGAAAGATTCCAGTACCACACTCCCTCCCCAGTCTGGTTACCAGCCCCAGGTCACGTTCCTGCGAAGATTAGGCTTTTCTTTGGCAGGACTGAGCCATCTAGAATCTGCGGTTGATTTTATTAGAAACCGAGCAGCCCCAGTTAACCTTCCTGCGGCGATAAATCACTGCCACAGAAATTGCGAGCAGCCACTCTGAAAATTTGCTGATAATGCAAATGTGTAATGAATCCTCACTGGTCCCTGCAGTGGGCTTTTTTTTTTCACATCTGTCTGTGTAAATGTCTATCGAGAGGCTGGGCTGGCAGCGGTGAATGGGAGAGAGACAGACAGACAGAGACGGAGGGGTAAACATGGAATAAATTCCAATTTGCATGCATTAACCGCGTTAAAAATACTCCAAATAAGATTCGGATACGATGCTGAGTTCTGCCAGTGAACCAATCTTTGGATCACTTTGCAGAGGTAAAATCTTAAGCAATAATAATCTGGTCATTCAATCCACAACCGTTTTTGGGACACTGCCGTGCGCAATTAGCTACGAAATATAATAATAATACTATTATTTTATTTTATTGGAGGGATTATTACACCCGGAAAAGCAATCAGCCCGTCAACCAACAAGCGGGTTCCTACTTACTGCTGGTAAACAGAGGCGTGTGCGTGGAGTAAGGAAACTTGCCCACCGTTGCGTTCTGCCTGGGAATCGATCCCAGGTCATCTCGCTTGCGAGACGAGCGCTCTAACCACTAAACTGCAGGGCTCCACAAAAACATACTCCAAATAAAAATCAGATACCTCGTTGATCTTCAGCCAGTGAACCCAAACCAATTTTTGGATGGCTTCCTGAGCGTAATAATCCCTTCCAATTTTTTTAAAAAAAACACAATAATCTGGTCACTCGCTCCACAGCTGTTTGTGCGACGCTGCTGTGCGCAATTGGCCGCTGCGTTTCGCCCACGAAACGTACAGTCAATTCACTTAACAGTATATTTCCTTCTTTGAGTCGTCTCGAAAGCGTGAGAAGGCGCTGTACCAAACGCAAGGATTAGTATTAATATTATTATCGATGCCGAAAAATTCAGACAAGCCTCAAGTGGTTGCAAGTCACTGAGTTCAGTAACAGTCTCACTCCAGTTCCTTTCAATTTAACCAATAATAATAATAATAATAATCGTTGCATTTGATATAGCGCTTTTCACGTCGGGAGGACGTCCAAGCGCTTCACAGAACACACTGTAAAGTGAATTGACTGTATATTTGTGACAACCGGCAGCAATTCGACAGCAATGTCCACAACAGTCTGGATTGAAATGACCATTTATTATTGTTTTTTTTTTTGGAATTTATTAGTCTTGTGAGTAAGAAACTGCCCAGGCCTCGCCCTGCTGGAATTGAACTCAGGTCTCTCGCTTGCAAGCGAGTGCTCTAACCACTGAGCTACAGACTCCACCAGTCATATTTTAAGGTAACGAGGCTTCAGGTTCTGACAGTTTTGACCAAAAAAAGCCGGGCTCACCCCAGAAGAGGTGAACATTGCCATTCCAAATGAAATGATCCACTTGACAAATCTGATTTACCAACCTCTCCAGCAGCTGTCTAATCTGCTGAAACTGCCCTGACAGAGCCACATGAAACTCATTAAAGCGCCATTAGTATTTCAGTCCTTCTGAGTAACGCAGTTTTTAACCCCTTCGGTTCCAATTCTTCTGTTTTTTTTAAAAAAAATGACCATAGTTTCCTTGAAAAGGAACAATTCGCAGGGCTGCGGAGTAAAAGAGCAGGTGAGTGGGGACGAGTTGGTGGCTCTTTCAAAGAGCCGGCACAGGCACGATGGGCCGAATGGCCTCTCGTATGACTTATGGCTGCCTTATAACACAAAGCTAGGATTTAGACAGTGGCTATAAGGACCAATTAGAAATACTTATTAGGGGCTACTGGATACAGAAAGTGTAGTGACTGTATATTTTGTGGGCCAACCGTGACAGCGTGCCGCAAACAGTCGTGGATTGAGGGACCGAATTATTATTTTTGTATTATCTTGTTCTCACTCTCTCTCGCTCCCTCCCCTCGTTCAAGGTCCGTCTCAGACACTACCTCTATTATTATTATTTTATCATTTATTTTGGTTGATAATTGCCCCTGGAAAAGCGAACCGCCAATCGGCTAACGACAGGGGTTGGTAAACAGAGGCGTGTGGAGTAAGGAAACTTGACTAAGGTTTCACCCTGCCCGGGAATTGGACTTAGGTCCACAGTAACACAGATCTGCTTGATGTATGGGATGTCCTCTCGGCGTGAACGGCGTTATGCAAACATAATTTTGTTGTTGAATGCTCAGACACTGATGGCCCTTAAAAGGCAAGAGTGTAAAGGTCATTGTGAAGGACTTTAACTGGGGAGCAGTCAAGTCGAATGGCAATTAAATCGTTGTGTGTCTGTTTGTGTATATAAACTGGTGTCAGAAAGGAGCTGCATTCTACAGCGTCTCATCATCATGAAATCTTTCAAATAAGTTAATAACTAAATTTAATAGGAGTCATTTGGAAGTCCTTTTGCACATAGGAAGGTCACAAAAACAGCCACGAGAAGCCAGTATACCTGGGGAAAATCTCCCTCCTCCCTTTCAATTATATCACAGGGTTAGCAAACAGGTTGCATTCATATAGCGCCTTTCATAATGCCTAGCGTCTGAGTACTTGCACCAAATTTAATCGTCAATCTACCCATTTTCAGGAGTTTCTAATCTTCGCAAACCCAGAGGTCAAGCAGCTTTAACTACACACCCTTTCAAAATAAGAAGAATCTTTGCATTGATATAGCTCCTTATCTTCAAAGCGCTTCGCGGAATATATTGTAAAGTGGATTGACTGTATACTTGTGTGGTCGAAACGCGGCAGCCAATTGCGTTCCGCAAACACTCGATAAATAATCTCGAACCAGGTTCCCAGAGTGAATTTATCGTCAAGGTTCTTTCACGATATCTAATAGAAACCTGATCACACAACCATTCTCCAACCTCGTGCTCTCAAGGCTATACGGTTCAAATTACAATACAATTGCGTTGCATCCCGCGCTCCACAGCAGAAAGGAGTGGGAGGGAGGGGTGGGGGGGGGAGAGACAGAGGACAGTGAGAAAGTGCCTTCCTTCTGATCAGAAGTTAAGCCCATTCAGGTGGGCCATTACAGATTAATTCAGCATTATTGGTAAAGACAAGTTTCTCTCGATTTCCCTCCCTGCCCTCCATCCCTCCTGATCCCAATCCCCAGCTCGGGCCCAAATCCCTGACTGTCCGCCGCCTTTGGACGTCCTCCCGACATGAAAGGCGCTGTGTAAATGTCATGTGCTGTTGTTCCTGATGTCTTGGCCACCAATCCTCCAGACAAATCGGTCACAAATTGTTGCTGTCGTTCACCTCATGGCTCTTTTGGGGGCCTTTCATGTGCAAATTGGCTGTTGAGTTTCCCCCTTTAATACAGTCACAACATGCGACAGCAATTTTCTGTGAAGCACTTTGAGACATTAGCAATATAGCGCAGACGAGATTATAAACAGATCGTTTGTGAAGAATATTTTTCAGACCCTGGCCTTTCCCATTCGGCAATTTTGAACCGTCAGAATAATAATCCTTGCATTTGGTGGAGCTGCTTATCACGCCTTCCAGACGTCTCAAAGCGCTTCACAAACTACACTTCCAAAGTGAACTGACTGTGCATTTGTAGGTGAAACGAGGCAGCCAATCGCACGCAGCAGTGTCCCACAAACAGTCGTGGATGAGTGAATGAGTTAAATGTATTTAATAACAGACTATTAAGACGGTAGTTATTAATGAGTCCACCTCACACAGCTGAATGGGCCGAGGTTGGCCGAGGGTAACAGACATTGGCACCGCACAGGAGAAACAGAAAACCAAGAATGCTCGGGGTTTATGCTGATTCTTGAACGTTTCTTTTGGGTGCGGTTTATTTTTGCAATATTATTTTCATTTTTCAAGGTAAGTCCAAAACAAAGGAACGAGTGGCCAAAAGCAACAGAATCTGCCACAACTGTTTCAGCCCGGAGAGCAGCGAGATTCAGGCTGACAGCAGCTGAGAGACGCAGATGTATTATTGTTGTATACCCGCGCCCTATTCTCCTATTGTGTCCACGTTTGGGGCTTTGAGTCTTGCAGTTTTACACCGCTGAACGAAGCTGTGCGACCCACCCAGCCTGCTTGCTGAAAGAGCCATCCCCTTCGCCCCTCTCCGCACCATTTTATACTTGTTCCAAACATTTCACAGAACCTAACGGCACAGGAGGAGGCCATTCGGCCCATCCTGCCTGTGCCAGCTCTTTGGAAGAGCCACCAACTAGTCCCCTTGCCCTGCTCTTACCCTATAGCCCTGCACATTTCTTTCCTTTTCGAGTCCCTATCCAATTCCCTTTTGAAAGCTACCGTCGAATCTGCTCCCACCAGCCTTTCAGGCCATGACTTCCAGACCGTAACAACCCTCTGGGTTAAAAAAAAACATTTCTCCTCGCCTCCCCTCTGGCCAATTACCTTAAATCTGTGTCCTCCGGCTACGGACCCACCCACCAATAGCTTTTCTTCCATTTCACCCCTCCTACTTAATACTGGCTACTGCCCCCCACCCCCCCCCCTCCCCACGACATTCAGGACACTCGCTGTGTTGAATACCAAATGGTCTGAGACCGCAGCTCGGCTGAACAGCTTCGGGAGTGTTTAGCAACCGCTCCTTTCACTGCGATAAGTTGGGACTTTTTCTGCCTTTGCCAACTTCTGCTCAGTACTACGCTTGGTCTTTGAATAGCCAGTGTACTGGGTGGAAGAATAGGTTGACTTGAAGCAGGGCTACAAAAGGCTGCTTCGGATGATCTCATGGCACTGACACACTGAAGCTCCAGTGGTTTATACAATCCTTTGCACCCGGAAATCCTGTAAAGGGTTTCAAGATGGTCAATGGAAGCTATTCATCTTTTAAAGTGTGTGTGTGTGTGTGGGGGGGGGGGGGGGGGGGGGGGGGGCTGACTGCATTCTGTTTAAGACTCTCGCTTGCGTTACATCTCTCTCTCACTCCCTCTCCCGCTCTGCATCTCGCTCTCTCTCTCTGCACCTCTCTCTCTGCACCTCGCTCTCTCGCTGCATCTCTCTCTCTCTCTCTGCATCTCTCTCTCTGCATCTCTCTCTCTCTCTGCATCTCTCTCTCTCTCTCTGCATCTCTCTCTCTATCTCTCTCTCAATTCAGTTAAACTCTGCAGTGTTCAGGAACCCGATGAGCTTTTTTTCAAAGTGAGTGGTTTCTGGAGTTGCTCGTTTCAAATCTTTTAGAGCAAACTTTTAATTAATGTGCAGCAAAATCCTGCAACTGATTCTAAGAGGTTAGAATATTTGGGGGTGGGGGGGCGTGGGGGAATGGGTGCCAGTTGATATCCGATCCATAATAGCTTCTAACCAAACCTTGGCTTTATATAATGGAGCCAGCGTCTCAGTAGCTATTTAAAATGGCTTTTAAATGACAAGTTTGCAGGGCTACAGAGAGAGCGAGCGAGAGAGAGAGAAAGCGCGGGGGAGTGGGATTGATTTGGAAGCTCTTTTCAAAGAACCGGCACAGACACGATGGGCCGAATGGCCTCCTTCTGTGCTGTATGATTCTAGATCCTAGATAAATAGGTGTTCATTTGAGTTTTGTATGGTCAGAGGAGACTGTTCTCGGGGTGTGGTGGGGATAGAGTTGCAGGTAGAGAGAGTTGACATCCTGAAGGTGAGTGGGAGCGATTCATAGTACTCGGATTGGAGGGGGGATGGGGGTAGGGGAGAGGGGGGGGGTGGTAGCGGGCGGGGGGGGGCCAAGGTGGAGGGGAGAGTCGAGAGGAGGGTGGAGGAGAGGTGAGAGTTCCAGAATCTGTTGGCGACCAGCTTAGCGAGGGCACCAGATGAAATTCTTTGGTTTGAATGGCTAACGTTTCGCCCACGAAATAAGGCAATCAATTCACTTTACGGCGCATCCTCGGGAGGCGCTCTAAGACGCCTCGAAGACGCCAGATCAGATGCGAGGATTAGTAGTAGTATTATTATTACTATTATTATTCTGTCGGAAAACGAGAACCCTTACCCTGGTGGTATTCCTCCTCAAGCTGCGGAGTATATTGCGTCTCTTCGAGTCGTCCCCATCCGGTTCGTATAGACTGACCACATTGTCCCCCTTCGACAGCGACGAGTCCGCCTCCGCTTTCTTCTGGGCGGACAGTGGGCCCAGCTCGTCGTCGCTCCCCACGCTGCAGCTGGTCCGATAGCGGGCGAACCTGCCCAGCTTTTTGGACCGGTCCCTGTACAAGAGGGGCTTGCTAACCGACGAGAGCTTGCGCTGACGCTCCAGGGAGCTGCTCTCCAGCTCGCTGTCGGAGCCGTTGCCGCTCCCGTTGGCCTGCAGCTTGGCCGCGATGGAGTTGCGGATGGTGATTATCTTGCCCTGCGTGCTGTCGTGGGGCACCGAGTAGATGTTCTCCTCCTCCCCCCTGGGCCGGACCAGGGTGTCTATCGGCTCGGCGTAGTCCGACATGTACAGCCCGTCATCATGCGGCGCCCAGCTCACGGTGGACTGCTTCCTCTGCATCTCCTTGCTGCTCTGTTCCTTCGACTCGGAGGAATCCATCTTTTTGATCAGTTTGTCGAAATGCACCACTGGCTTGGGCTTGACCGGAGGAGGCACTTTGTTGTTGAGCCTCTCGAAGGAGCTGAGCGAGCTATAGAGGGAGGAGTTGTCATTCCCTTCTGGGTCCATGGACAGCTTCGACTGCTCTTTGCTCGCTTGAGTGCCCGAGGGCTCGTCTCCGAAGGCCATGTAGGGTGGCGGGGCCTCGTTGTCCTCCTCGTATTCGAAGCAGTTGGAGTTGTTCAGGGGCGACACTGGCCTGGGCGAGAAGTTGAAGACCTCCTCGGTGTTGCTGCAGGCCTCCGCCGCATTGTCGTACATGTGAGAGGCTTCGATGATGATCTTTCTCTCGGCCACGTCGCGGAAAAAGGGCGAGAAGAGCTCCACGTTGTGCTGGAGCAGCTGGCTGGCGGGGATCACGGTGAACTTGCCCCCGATCTCGTGGGCGATCTCCTTCCCTTCCTCGAGCTGCTCGCGCGTCACGTCGCCTTCCGGCCCCTCCGCGGCCCCCTCGGTGACGGCCGCCAGTTGGATGGGAATGATGTCCTGCACGTCGGAGAGGAAGGCCCTCAGCATGGCTAGGGAGGCTTTGCGCCGGGCCAGGTAAAAGACTATGTATCCGTGGACCAGCTGGCTCTTCCTCAAGCTGAAGGAGGAATGGTAAGAGAACATGGAGAGCTCGAGCCGCTTGCGGCCCGAACCGACCGCCAGCTCGAGGATGGCGGAGCTGCTGTTGCTGGGCTGGGGGGAGCTGCAGAAGTGAGGCTGGATGATGGAGAGGAGGACGTCGTCTATGCCGCACGAGTCGCCGCACATCAGGCACATAACGATCCGCAGGTCCACGTCCGTCAAGTCTTTAATGCTCGGGGAAGAGCTGACCAGGTTCAAGTTCCGCTTCATGGTGTCCAACAAGCCCTTGAGAGCCTGGGTGATCTGCAGCTCGCTGAAGTTGCGCCCCGAGCCGACGCTATGCGAGGTGACGTCAATGAAGGGACACTGCAGCTTGTTGGCGAGCTGTTGGCCGTGGTTCCTCAAGCTCTGCAGCGTCTCCCCCCCGCTCTCCCTCTTGTTGGCGAGCACGAGAGTCAGCGGCAGCTGAGCTAAATGATTGTCCCTCCTGTCCATGGTTGACTCCCTCAGTTTCTCTAAACTCTCCTTGATGTAGTAAAGCGATTCTTTGGAGTTGTACAGGCAGAGGCAACCGTGCGGCTGGAAGCTTGGCGTCTGAAAAGCGTTAACGCGGTGCTTCACGTTGCCTTCAATCGGTCGCAAGGAGAGCTCGTACATTTTGCCCTCGAGCACGTACTTGTCATCAGTACACAGCACCCGAATCTCGTTGGCCAGCTCGTGAGCGAGCCCGTCCTTGCCCAGGAGTACGAGGTTGAGCTTGTCGGCACTGGAGTCCGAGTGGGAATTCAAGTAGCTCCGATCAGAGGACTGGTAAAACCGACTGATCAATAGCTGTTCGACTTTACTGTCCACGCAGTTCTGGCTGTTGGGACATGTCTCTTTCGTGGGATGGTATACAAAGTGGACGTGCTTCAGCACCAGGGCGTCTCGCTCGGCTTGGAGCCTTTGAAGCGCCTTGAACCGCTGCTCTTCCCCCAGCACTTCCCGAATCAAGCCCATCTTCTCCTTGCTGGGTTTGGCGTCCAACTCCAGCTCGTAAAATAACTCGGAATATTCCAGCAGGAGCTCCTGAAACTGCTCCCTGGCCTTGTCTATGATCTCCCGTTGATGCCGGCTGTAGATCTCCTGATACTCCTGCTCTTGCAGCCACTGATAGAAGTCCTCGTTCATAACAAAACTTCTGGCCTCTTCCCACGGTTTCCCGGGGGTTATAAACAGTGAGGACGCCAGGTTCTCCTTAAAGGCCTTCCTCATCTCCGCTTTCTTTCTCTCGTTCTTCAGTTTGTCCAAATGCCTCATGAACTGATCCTCCGCGTACCGGCCTTCCAGCAGGTCGAAGGGGATGCGCTCGTCGTCAGTCTTGTCAATGTGGTCGGTGGTGTCCCACGGAGTCTCGCTCAGGACCACAAACCAAGCGGGGAAGTCCACCTTGCTCTTCAACCTCTGCTGGGCCATGGCCCAGCCCAAGCCCTCAATCTCGTTCAGGTCAGGGAACAGAGCATCGAGGGCCTGCACCAGCCTATGGATGTACTTGTTGCGCAAGTGGTCGATGTGCCTCTTTTTGAGCATCAGCGTGTGTTGCGAGAAGAGTTTCTTGGCCTTCTGAGTGCCTTCCAGGAACACATAGTCCTCGTATTCGGGTTTGTTGTACATTTTCTTGGTGGCGTTCATCCAGCTCTCATTGTGATGGTTGACGTGGTGGTTGATGATGAACTCATACCGGTCTTTTGCTTGAGCTATGAGCTGACTCTGTTGTTTCAAAGCTTCGTAATATGGAGTTATTTTCGGCTTGGCCCTGTTTTTATCGATCAGCTGCACGACGGTACTGAAGGCCAGTTCCACATTGACGTTGGATCGGGCCGACGTCTCCACCACTTGAAGGTTCTTCTTAGGCATGGCGAAGGAGTGGGCCTCGCGAATATACCGCTCCACTCCCTCGTCGCACTTGGTCAGGACCACCACCGTGGGCTTCTTGGCCTTCGTTATTTGGTTGTACAGGTTGGTGATGAACTTCAGCTGCTCGTCAAAGTTCCTGTTCATGCCCCGGCTGACGTCCATGCACAGGAGGAAGCCATCGATCAGCAGCTTCCCCTCCGGCATCTGCTTCTGCTCAAAGTCCTGTTCCAGACCCAACTGGTCAGTGCAAATGTACATCAGCTTCTCCGCGGATGCCAGTTTGGTGGCCGCTGCCCGCTTAATGTAGGGCTGCAGGGCGGTGCTGCGGTGAGGCTGAAAGGTCTGATCGTCGATGAATTCGGTCTGTTCCACCACGTGGATCCGACACTCGACGCCTTCCTCCACCGTCCGGCCCACTTCTCCCCAGTACAGGAAGTGATCATTGTTGACCACTCGCCCGCCAAAGTCGCTGGTGCTGAGCACCGACGTATGGTCCAGGTGAAACTCGTCGGCTCTTGGCCGTACAAATCGGTTGCACAGACACGATTTGCCCACGCCGCACTGCCCCTTCTCCTTCTCCGTCCCCGACAATCCCACCACACTGACATTGTAGGTGGGGATACGCACATCCTGTTTTTTTGCCATCATCACAATCCGCTCATCCTGCTACGGTCCACACCATGTTAGTAGTTGTCCCTATAGATTTCCCAGCAAAACACGGTGGGGTTGGGGGGGGAGGACTCAGAGTTGGAGACAGACCCCTTTCGTAGGGCAAGCAGATAATCCCATGTCCAACGCACTGTTCACTAACTCCTGTAGTTGCAAATCAATCTCAAGTTCCTGGAAAGAAAAAGAAAGGTCAGTACAACAACAACGACTTGCATTTACACAGAGCCTCTCATGCAGGTTAGCATCCAAGAGCGCTCGACAGCCAAGCCGGGGGGAGGGTGGGGGGGGAGCTGCTGCTGACATCGTCAAAAAGGGAGGTCTTGAGACGCGACCTGAAGATGAGGCTGGAGGGATAGAGGAAGAGTGTTCCAGAGTTTCGGGGCGTAATGGCTAACAGCACGAGCACCGATGGTGGAACAGAGCACACGAGAGACACGCAGGAGGCCAGAGTCAGTCGAGCAGAGGGTAATGGGTTGGGGTGTAATCAATAGCTTTAAACCCTTTGCGGTTTGGAAATAAGTCTCAGCCTCTCGATGAAAAGCTAAGGCAGCCTTCTAGTTAACTGTAGAACACGGCATGTCAAGCCTATCTCGAGAAGCTTTATCTTTTAAAAGCACTTAATGTTGCAAGTATGGAATAGAGAATCAATGAATAACTAATTCATGCATTTTAGCAACTATCCTTATTCAATCATCCATCTATTAATATTCACTGTGAGGTTTGTTAGTTTAGCAGCATTCTTGCCTCTGTGTTAAGACTGTGAGTTTGTTATCCACCACAGGATAGTCCTTAGTATGAAATATTAGACTGAAGTCCCATCTGCCTGTTCAGATGGACTTCAAGTATCCCATGACACAATAATCATAATCCTTGCATTTGATATCCTGCCTTATCACGTCGTTGAGACATCTCAAAGCACTTCACAGAATATACTGTAAGGCGTACTACAGGAAAAAAAAGTTTCTCCCTGCGTTGTAGCCAACAGTCCTGTAGGATGAGTTTGAGATTCTCGGCATGATAATATAATCCTTGCATTTGATATAGCTCCTTATCGCGTTGTTGAGACGTCTCAAGGTACTTCACAGGAAAGCTTCTAAAGCGTGGTGACCGTTTATTTTGTGAGCAAAACACGGTAGCTAATTGCGCACAGCAGTGTCCCACAAACAGTCATGGATTGAGTGACCACATTATAATATTTTTGTGTATAAAATGTGCGCCTTGAGTTACGACACTCGACAAATGAGTGTAAAGTTCTGAGACACAACACAGCACCATAAGAATTGAAGTTCATTTGGAAGAGTCATTGTAAGCTATGAGTGGAACAGAACCAAATAAATAATAACAATTTGGTCACTCAATCCATGACCGTTTGTGGGACGCTGCTGTGCGCAATTGGCTGCCATGTTTCGCCCACAAAAAACTACAGTCAATTCACTTTTCAGTATATTCTGTGAAGCGCTTTGAGACGTCTCGAAGACGTGATAAGGCACTCTAATCAAATGCAAGGATTATTATTAGGATTATTATTATTTTACCATCTGCACGAGGGAAACATTGACATTCAATCCAGCAGTTAACACTAAGAACTAGTCAGTTGCCATCTATGCAGAATCCAATTTGAAGGGTTCTTCAAACCAATTGCCTCTGACAAGAGCAATCTTACAATATCTTTGAGTAGCTCATTAGTATGTCAATGCGAAGTCGATGCTGGTGCATTAGTACAGGGTTACAAATGAAATGCATTAATGCTGACATTCGGAATTAATGGGACGCATTGTCTGGCCACTGCATGATGACAGTCACTGAAGGCTTCCACACAGAGTATCACATCCTCACTCTAACACTGTTATATTCACCTTTAGTTTGCGATGTTTACGTCCCGCTTGCAATGATTCTGTTCAAATCACTCCCATTCATTTAGTATTTGCTGGCAAGCTTCATACTGGAAGAGAAGAAAGACCATTAAAGTGGAGTCCTGTAGCACGGTGGTTAGAGCGCAAGCGAGAGGAACCGGGTTTGATTCCCGGGCGGGGAGAAACGTTGGGCACGTTTATTACCCCCGGAAAGCGATCCTCCTGTTAGTCGATTGGCGGATCGCTTTCCGGGGGTAATAATCCCTTCAATTTTTTAAAAAAATGTATTAAGAATAATTTGGTTACTCAATCCATGACTGTTTGTGGGACGCTGCTGCGCGAGATTGGCTGCCGCGTTTCGCCCACAAATATACAGTCAATTAACTTTACAGTATATTCTTTGAGACGTCTCGAAGACGTGATAAGGTGCTATATCAAATGCAAGGATTATTATTATTATTATTATTATTATCATTAACTCCGCTATCCCACCAGTTTGGAGTCCTAAACAAAATGAGCTGAGCCTTCCCGACGACTGAACGAGACAATTCAGCAGAGAGAAAAAAAAATGAGTTGGGTTCCTTTTAACTAATTTGAAGATCAATGTGTCCAAACTGTCCACCTTCCCCCTCTCACCATTTGGTCGCAGCAGACATCCCAAGAGGATACTTTGCTTCTAAAGCAGATGCTTTTAAGTACAGTAACCTATAAGAGCCCAGACGATGATTAGGCCCAGTTACTCTGCAATGCACTCCCTTAAGTGTTCTGAGTGTGGTGAGCACAGGCTGTCAAGTTATACTCACTGCTCCGAAAATACATACGGGCCGCAACCCCGGTCGTGTCACCCCCCCCCCCCCCCCACTGGGGAAATCTCCCAAGTCTCTCAGGAGAAAAAGCTGACAAGATGGCCACTATTAGAGACTGACCCGTGGCTCAGCAGCTCGGTCCGTGTTAGGTGTAATTATAATAATAATAATCCGTGCATTTGATGTAGCGTTTTATCACGTCTTCTTGACGTTTCAAAGCCCTTCAGAATGTACTATAAAGTGAATTGACTATATATATCACACGCAAGGATGGTTAGGAACGGTGGTGGCTATAGACCTCCTGCACTGCTGCTCTGCGTGGCACACACAAATACAAACCTGCCGTGCCACCGAGCTGACAGTCAGAGACTAATATCTTAACCCAGCAGAAATTATCGAATATGCAAACAGTATAATCCGCTGATCTTCAGATGAGTTTGTCCAGAACGACGAGAGATCAGATTTTGCCTCCCGGGTGATTGGATTTACCGACATCGCGACTCTGAAAATGGGTCACGGGCTGGCGAACCACGCTGACCGGTCGTTTGTTCATTACCCCGAGTGACAAGCCGTGAACTGGGTCAACCCGCCATCTGCCGCGGCATAATCCGAGGATTATTTTGAAGGAATTGAATATTTATACATCAAAGATTCCCCTCGCGATTTAACAGAGCAAATGTTGATAGATAAAAAATAACAATAATAATCCTTGCATTTGATATAGCGCCTTATGTCGCCAAGATACCTCGAAGCTCTTCACAGAACATACTGTAAAGTGAATTGACTGATACTTTATGGGCAAAACGCAGCAGCCAATTGCACCCGCAGCGTCCCAACGAACAGTTGTGGATTGAATAACCAAATTACATTATAATTTTTTTTGGAGGAGGGTATTATTCCCGGAAAGCAAACCGCCAATTGACTAACAACCGGGTTCCTATTTACTGCCAGGTGAACAGAGGTATTTGGAGTAAGGAATCTTGCCTAATGTTTCGTCCGGCCCGGGAATCAAACCCAGGTCCTCCTCGCTTGCGAGGTGAGGTTTCTAACCGCCACGCCTCAGGACTCACTGATAAATTGCATTTGGCAAGAGATTCTTGAGCGGTGAGCTCCCGCCATCAAGACCTTGGCGTTTCATCGGCACAGGAGTGGTTTATTGGCTCTTCTGGCCTTTCAAATGGAAGTGCTCTCTTAGAAAACTTGTCAGCAAAGCCTAAATGATTATAAATCAAAACTGTTCAATAACACAGGCCTCACCCCCAACCTCAGAAGCCAGGATTTTGAACAGTTAAATTGGTCCACATGCCTCCGATCAGTTACACTTGGGACAAAGCATGGTTTATAATAATACTATTTGATGCAGGGCCCCTATAATGTTGAAATATCTCACAGCGCTCCACAGGGAGTTGCTGTATATCGAGTGTATTTATTCGCAAACCAGAGCAGCCAATTTGCATACAGCAAGAATCCACAAGCGGCGATGAGGTGAATGGCCAATTTATCTGGAGTTGGCGCACTCACCTCCCAAGCGAGATGACCTGGGTTTGATTCCCAGGCTGGGCGAAACGTTGGGCAAGTTTCCTTACTCCACACGCCTCTGTTTTCCCAGCAGTAAGTAGGAACCCGGTTGTTATCCGATCGGTGGATCGATTTTCCCTTAAAAAAAATACTGATTTGGTCACTCAACCCACGACTGTTTTGTTTCTGCTGCGCACAATCGTCTGTCGCATTTCACTCACAAAATACACAGTCAATTTGCTTGACAGTATAATCCTGTGAAGTGCTTTGAGATGTCTCGAAGACGTGATAAGGCGCTGTATCAAATGCAAGGCTTATTATTATTATTGTTATTATTAATTACAGGAGTTAGGAATGCGAGAGGTTATAGACAAGCGCAGATAAATAAAATCGGTCATGGCGGCTTGCGGGATATTGCTGTGCACAAATTGGCTGCCACGTTTCAGCTACAAACACAATCACTACAATTCACAATGAATTCCTCCGAAACACTTTGTCTCGTCTCGACGACATGATAAGGCGCTATCAAGTGCAAGAATTACATTTTGCTTTTCTAAGAATCAGGTGAATTGTCGCAGTATATTCTGTGTCGACCTATGACACGTCTCCACTACGTGATAAGGCGCCATATCAAATCCGAGGATTATGATTATTATTACTCCGCAGACCACTTTAATCACGTGAATAGTTTTTATACCCCTAAACTACACTCACTCACTAGTTTAAATGAACGCTATTGTTTTTACCTGATTTATTAAACTGGAGTGATGTACAAAAAGCTTAACTCCAGGTATCATTAGCATCATTTAGGTATTAGGTATCATTAGGTAACAGCAATTAATCATGAGGGGTTACCGATAGACCAGGACACTGTAAAGACCCCACAGTATGGTAAATTATACAACAGCAGCTATCAACTTATACAACAATCAATGAGCAGTTATAACCACACAAGCGGTTACAATCAGAGTGCAGATCGACCCCGCAGGGAGAGATGAAGCTTTGCAATCCCGCCTCCCTGGCTTCGGTACTCGCTATTCATCACTGCTGCGGTGCAACGACAATTTTTTTTTTTTTTTTTTTTTTTTTTGTAAGCAGCGAGAAGCGTCGGGAATTTTCCAGACCGAATGCAAAGGGAGAGCACAGGAGTGCCGGGGCTGTGCGTCTGACAAAGGAAGGTAATTGGCTGCCATTCCGCTCCCCTTTGTGCCTTCCACCCCGTTTTTTCTTCTCCCTCTTTTCATCCCGTCACCTGTTCTCCCCCTTCCGATGGTTGCGACGCCGGCGTGAAAATTTAAATGCAATGTGTAATACGATCTGGGCGCATTTTCCAAATGCACCGCCAATAAAGCAAATTCAATTCTACTCCCCATCCCTTTGTGTGCGAGAGCTTTCCTCTGCAGACGAGCTGCTGCGTTTCTCTCTCTAACACTCACTTAGTGGGGCGAAACCTGAGGCAAGTTTCCCTCCTCCACACGCCTCTGTTTACCTAACGGTCAGCAGGAACCCGCCGGTTACTCGACTGGCGGATCACTTTTCCAGGGGTAATAATTACCTTCGTAAAACGTATAATGATAATAATGTGGTCCCTCAATCCACGACTGTTTGTGGGATACTGCGGTGCGCAATTGGCTGCCGTGTTTCACCCACACGGCAGTCAAAGTCACTGCACCTTACAGTGTACTCTGTGAATACGTCTCAAAGATCGTAATAAGGCGCTGTATCAAATGCAAGGATTATTATTAGTTTCCAATCAAATCGATCTTAGTTTGCAAGGCATTTTGAGGCATTGATGTGAAAGGCACTGTGTTAATCCAGGTGGAGACGGGGATTTTTCAGTCAGCTGGGCGTCCGACATGTGGAAACTCATCATCGCGCTCAAAATACCAAGCAAGACAGAATTTCATGCATGGCATCTACCAATGGAAATTCCCATGTCTGGAATGCGATATTCACTCTATTTCTTTGTGTCCCCCCCCCCCCACTCCCTGAAGGACACACCTTAGGGTGTGGGGAGGAAGTGAAGGAATAAATAAGAGTAGAACTCTTGTAGCCTAATAGTTGGAGCACTTGCCTCACAAGCAAGAGGACATGGGTTTAATTCCTGGACAGGGTGAAACCTGAGGCAAGTTTCCTTACTCAACACGCCCCTGTTCACCTCGCAGTAATAATAATAATCGCTCATTAGTTCTAACACTAAGATCGCTTTTCCGGGGATAATAATGTCTCTAAAACATAATAATGCGGTCACTCAATCCACGACTGTTCGTGTGACATTGCTGTGTGCAATTGGCTGCTGCGTTCTGCCCACAGAAATATGTAGTCACTACACTTTACGGAATATTCTGTGAAGTGTATGTACTGAGGCATCTCGAAGTGTCAAATGCAAGTATTATTTTTACATACGAGAGGGGAGAAAAGGGAAGGCACTCCAAGACATTTATCATTTTCAAATTCTACACACTATGATTCTGCGTAGAACAAGGGAAACCCCGATATACATAGGAGTATTTATCCTTCCTCTGTACAACAGCATGTTTCAAGCAGATAGCTCCCACAACACAAAACCACCCAAAGTGTAATACTCCAACTGAATGGAACCTCGACTTTTTTTTAATATATATGCAAAGAGGCTATTCTTCAAATGGGGGAAGGAAGGAGAGAGGGGGAGAGAGAGAATAGAAGGATAGATTTAAGCCTCATTGTAAAGGGCAGGGGAAAAAAAATGTACTCGGCAGCAACTCTTGCTAGGTTCATCAATCAAA